TGAATATTATACATGTAGTTATCTACTGGGCGCTTTTTGACAGTTCTGCTTACTTGAAGAAGAGAAACCTTAATTTCTGATAATTTTTACGTGTTTTCTTAGTTGTATTATTATTATTATTATTATTATTATTGTTATAAGATAGATAGATAGATAGATAGATAGATAGATAGATAGATAGATAGATAGATAGATAGATAGAAAATGGAATATTTAAAATCAATCGAGATAAACGCCTAAATAGAGAAAGTATAAAATGAATAATCGGATTGGTTGAATGAAACATCGAGACAAACTGGAAACCGAAAATTTAAATTGAAAGCTAAACGTCCCTGTATCTTCAGCGTTTCTCGACGTAAAATTATTATCTGAATTTGTTGTATTTCTTTCCCTGCCTCCAAATATATATATATATATATATATATATATGTGTGTGTGTGTGTGTGTGTGTGTGTGTTTGCTCACGTGCGTGTGGCTACATCGACAAAAGCATCAACAATCTGAAGACGTCCTTTTGCGTAATATAGGAATTTTTTTTGTTTTCTCAAATTTTGTTCTTAAATTACCTACGATACATAGATAGATAGATAGATAGATAGATAGATAGATAGATAGATAGATAATGAACAGAATTAAACAGATAGATAGATAGATAGATAGATAGATAGATAGATAGATAGATAGATAGATAGATAGATTACAAATAGGAACAGACCTTGTTAACAAACTTGGGATAGATAGTTCTCTCCAAATAAACACACTGAGATAGATAGATAGATAGATAGATAGATAGATAGATAGATAGATAGATAGATAGATAGATAGATAGATGTGTGTATGTGCGTGTGTGCATATAAGGTGAGAGAGAGTTGTGCGTATGTGTGTGTGATCGAAAGCAAAAAATAAAGAAAGAACATTGATCACGTTGTATGCACATATGTTTATGTTAACGTGCATATCAATCTCTCTCTCTCTCTCTCTCTATATATATATATATATATATATATATACTGTTTCCTGAGAGCTATAATATCCACCTACTCAAATGTAATGTCAATCGACATCTCCAGTTACATTGATCTACCCACTATCCCTTTCCTCATCCTTTCTTCTATCACTCCTATCTGCTCTCGCTCCAAATCTTCTACAACCCACTGCATCCTAGTGGCTTCACGCCTTGCTCGGGGCGTAATGCTTAAATATATATATATATATATATATATATATATATATGTGTGTGTGTGTGTGTGTGTGTGTGTGTGTGTGTGTGTGTGTGTGTGTAAAAATAGTTCGTGCTATGTAAGTGTGCAAATTGCATTGGCGTGTTTTAAGGTAAATATTTGCATCAATCCGTTTTATATTTCTGCAGCAGCGTTTCTGTATGGTTGTTTTTTTTAAACACTCATGTATTTACAAACAATCTGTCATGCAGGTGTTTCTCTGCAGATGTGTCAAGGGAATATCAAATATGATGTGGTAATCGCGGCCATGTTCAACTGCGCAGACGTTTGTCCTTCGTTCAGTTGATTTACAAGTGTTTCGCTCAGTCACGTTCTATAAGTTATGTACGCATTCATTCACACACACACACACATGCATATATGCGCGTACGCGCGTGAACACACACGCTAACACGCATTAATCTTGCGGGATAATGTTAGCTAACTTTTTGGTCAAATGTCAATCTTTTGTCAGCGCAGCGGTCAGGAATCGCAATCTTTGTATGTCCCTCTCTTCTACAGGTGTGGCAGACGAACTTGGGGTGTAGAATGTGCTCTTTCTGTTTTTGGCGTTGTCTTTTGATCTTCAAAATTTGGTTTCGCCTTTTCTCGCCTTTCATAATTCCTCATTGAACAGAATGGCGCTAGCCGCAGCGATCGTCTGCTAGCTGTTCCCAGTTAATAAAGTTGATGTCAGTGAGTTTGAGGCCTCACTTGAAAAATGAAAACATTATATAAATACATATATGCAACAAACTATTTCTTATTTAACAGTTCAAATATTTCCTCCTTGAAAATGGCTAAATGTATAGCCCAAGGCGCTCGGAAGAAAAAGAACATTCGGACAGTTTTTATATAATTTATCATCTGAAAAGAAAAAAATATTAGATTGCATGAGAAATTGTATAAAAGAACTAAATCAAAGTACCTTGTCTGCCGTACTCAATGAAATGCACACACACACACACATATATATATATATATATATATATATATATATATAGGTAACTATACTCGTTTCGAAAAATCTTCGAATTTTTGATTTGCCAATAATCAAATCAATCAAGAAGGAAAAAAAGTTTTTTAAAAAAGAAAGCTAGAAACATAAAAGTCTGTCGAAAAAATCGCACAGATGCAGGTCTGAAGACCAAAGAAAAAACCCCGATACGAGTAAACAACTAACTAACAAAAGAGCTCAATACAACCGTAGAGCAGACCTAGATACACCTAGACAAACCTACCCAGGTTTCACCTAAACGGATCGTCAGGGAAAGCTGGCTAAAGAGGCGATTATTATAGGCGATAATCAAAATCATACCACGTGACCAAAGAAAAAGAAAAAGAAGAAAAAACGCAAGAAAAACAACACCGTTTAAAGATTTATTCAAACGACTAAAAGGGGAGGGGATAATTAAAACACGAACAATAAAGGTGGAATGACAATACAAACGGGGAGATTATACCTAAATTTTGTAAGCTATGTACAGAGGAGAAATTAGCCATAGCTTTATATAATCAACCTAACGATCTATTAAACTCTAAAACCGAGATTCTTAACAGATGTAGGCATAGAAAATCTTGGTTATTGAATTAGGTCTAAACTCCCCGTTTGTAATGTCATTCCACCTTTATTGTTCGTGTTTTTTAAATATCCTCTCCCCTTTTAGTCGTTTGAATAAATCTTTAATACCCCCACCGGTGTTGCTTTTTCTTGTGTTTTTTCTTCTTTTTATTTGGTCACGTGGTATGATTTTGACTATCGCCTATAAATATGCTGTTTCTCTTTTGCCTCTTTAGCCAGCTTTCCCTGACGATCCGCTTAGGTGAAACCTGGGTAGGTTTATCTGGCTCACTAGGTTTATCTATCTATCTATCTATCTATCTATCTATCTATATATATATATATATATATATATATATATATATATATATAAGGTGCGAGATCGCTAAATTGCCGCTAATTTATATTTTTTGCGCGTTGTTTGTTTTTGATTTTATCGACTGCATAAAATAGTAGGAATCAGTTGGACTCCATCTGTGAGAAAAAGACCAACATGATACAATTCAGTCTGCCAGAAATTTTCAAACGTCTTTCTATACTGTTGGCACTTCCGGTGCGAACACCGGAAGTTCCAATACGTACATTTCAGAATGTTTGGGTGTCAATCTGAGAAGACTGCAGAGAATTCGGGAAGAGTTGGATGATATATCCAGTCAACCATATTGTATTTGCAGTGATTTCTAGTGATGGCGACGTTATGCCTCCATTCATCTTCCCTCAAGGGCTCAACACGGAGGCCTACATCAAGTGCCTTGAGGAGGTAGTGCGGCGCTGGGTCAATAGGGTGGCTACTGGAAGACTCTATTTCTGGCAACAGGATTCTGTACCATGCCACAAAAGCATGAGAACACAGGCATATGGCTGTTAGACAAATTCTGCAACTCCTTACATCTGGCACCTAAACCCTTGATTATTATGGATGGAGCGCAATTGAGAGAGAGACCAAACAAAACTCCTTGTAACACCAACGATGAACTGAAGTCAAGGATTATGGCAGCAATAACCAAGTTAAACAAGCAGACCGTTCAGAAAAATTGCAGGAGATTCTGAAGACTTCTGGAGACCGTCGTTGAATTTAGAATCTTTCTCCTATACCGGTTGCTAGACAAGGATATAGGACCCAGTTTGTCCTGCTCTTTACCCATAGCTGGAGCAGAAGAGATGTATTTATGCTTTCCCCAAGTGTATTTGTAGGTAACTGAATGTAAAGAACTTGATTATATATATATATATATATGTGTGTGTGTGTGTGTGTGTGTGTGTGTGTGTGCGTGCGTGTGTGTGTTTGTCCGTTTGTATATATATGACATCTTTGTTTCTTGTATCTATGTTACAGTTTCTTCTTTAATGTTTCGTGTCCATTCAGGACGTAGGCGATCATGGTCCTCCACATCTTCCTGTTCCTTATAGCTCTTAATAAGTTTTGTATTTTTGTTATTTCTCCCAAAGCCTGTTCTAACATCCCTTTACTCAAGCGCATCAAGTACGTTATACACCGGTTTCCTCTGTCACTTTTTCCCCCTCAATCTTCCCTATGAGTATCAGGTTCTCCAAGCCCTTTTTCCACATTACGTGCCCCAGAAATCTAAACTGCCTCATCCTGATGTTAAGTATAAGTTTTTCTTTGCATCTATCGAAAAAAAAAAACTCATCGTGGATCACATGTTTGATCCCTGATATCCTAAGCATTTTTCTGTAGAGATATGTGCTTCGAGTCTCTTCTTCATCTTTGAGGAGATTGTCCAGCGTTGAAGTTGATTATGAATAAATTTACTATTCCTTATATGAGTGGGGAGCTGAACATGTGAATTTATCTACGTAATATATACGTATAGATGTGTGTGAACGTGTGTTTGTGTGACTTTATAAATAGGATTCAGTGTTCTCTCCTTGTCTCTTCTTTTTACTCGCGTCTACGGGCAAGTGAACGGAAGTCTGTGCAATTGTGTGCACTTTTACTATTGCAAGAATCTGTCTACGTGTTACGCATGCGTGAAAACGTGTACGTTTTATATTGTTCGACTGTTTGTCAATTTCATTATATCTGGTTTTAGATGTTTTTATCTGTCTCATATAAACACTTGCCATGGACAACCTAATATATAATTGAACGTAATTGAATGCAAACAAAGGAAGCATTCCCGGGCCAAAAAATATTAGTAAAACAATAAAGTTTGCTTATACACAAATCAATTGAAAGAAAATAAGATGCTGTGGCAATGTGCACCCACAAATGTACCAACGGCAAAATTCATCAAAATGCGGTTTTGGTAATAGAACAGTGCTCCTTATTTTATTTCATTCTTTTGTATATTTCTGTATTTTATCTTAATCTAATTTTTTGAGTGGGGTGTTTATTAAATTTTATTTGATATGAATAGTTTATTCCTTTGTCTTAAGAGAAAAGCGCGACCATTATAGCACTTGATAAAATTGAAACAAACATAATAGAAATTATTTTTCTATCTATCTATCTATCTATCTATCTATCTATCTATCTATCTATTTAATTCTGTTCATTATCTATCTATCTATCTATCTATCTATCTATCTATCTGTCTGTCTGTCTCAATCTGTTAATATCTAGCTAGCTAGCGAGCTAACTTAATCAGATCATATCTTTCTAAAATGGAAATTAACTATCATATTATTTGTTCATATCTATCTATCTATCTATCTCAATCAATCAGTCTATCTATTTACCTATCTATCTCTCTATCTCAATCAATCAGTCTATCTATTTATCTATCGCAGTCAGTTAATATGTATGTATGTATGTATGTATGTATGTATGTATCCATCTTAATCAACCATTCTATCTATCTATCTATCTATCTATCTATCTATCTATCTATCTATCTATCTATTTATCTATCTATCTATCTATCTCAATCTGCTAATATCTATCTAGATAGCAAGCTAGCTATCTCTATCATTTCATATCTTTCTATAATGGAAATTGTCTTTTTATTTGTTCATATCTTTCACAGTTAGTCAACCAGTATCTATCTATCTATCTATCTATCTATCTATCTATCTATCTATCTATCGCAATCAGATATGTATCTATCTATCCATCTTAATCAATCAATCAGTATACCTATCTATCTCAGTCTGTTAATATCTATCTATCTATCTATCTATCTATCTATCTATCTATCTATCTGATTGTCAACCTGATTACCTTGGATCGATCTATCAATCTGTTAATATATATCTAGATAGCAAGCTAGCTATCTCAATCAGTTCATATCTTTCTATAATGGAAATTATCTATTATTTGTACATATCTACCTGTCTCAATCAGTCAATCAGTATCTATCTAATATGTATGTATGTATGTCTGTATGTATGTATGTATCTATCGATCTGTCCGCCTGACTACATTAACTACGTGCCTCAATCTATCTATCTATCTATCTATCTATCTATCTATCTATCTATCTATCTGTTTGTCCGCCTAGCTACTTTGCCTGTGTGTGTCAATCGGTTTATATACATTTATTCATACATACATATATGTGCTTTTGTGTATGCGTCTGTGTGTGTTAGCCGCGTAAAATTATTCTCTTGATTTTGCAACGTTTTCTATTGATTGTATCTTTAGACATTACCATACACAGAGGCATACACGATATCTGCGGCCCCGCTGTCGAATATGACCATCACAAGATATCATTGAAATACTTAGTTGCGCTTTAAACTAATATGGCCCATGAAACCGGACAGTCCTTTAAAACAATCTGACTTTAAAAAAAAAAAACAAAAAAAAACTAGTAGACATGAGACTCATTTTGTTGATATATTTAAATTTTTATCCTTCATTGGTTATGGTCGCCATTTTCTACCATGCCCAGTCGTTTAGCTTCGGAAAGAAAACACCTTATGCTAATCAAGCGATGTTAGTACATGAACGTCTTTTAAAAGGGAATGAAATTGTACTGGGGTAGTCCAATTCTCTGAGCAAGAAGTTTATGTGCCCAAAACGAAAAACCAGTCAACACAATTTGATACGGTAATGTCGAATGTATTAGATCCGAGATTTCCTTTCTCTTAGTTTATAATTTAAGGAAAGCTAAGCAGTTCAGCCGTAACGTGACAGTAGCTGCCATAATGATGCTATACAAAAATACCAAATTTTGGTCAGATCCCTAGACGGAGATACTGTCTTCTTCAGGGTGATACCTTTTCTCTTTGTTATTAAATTTGACTACGAATTGAGAACTTCCCTCGACAAATATTGTCATCAAGGCTTTAACTTTATCACCATGTCTCTCAAGTCAATATACTGAAAAATGTTGACAAATATTTACTATGCATATGACCTTGCTATCACTGCAGACACCATTCCAAATGTCACAGCTCTCCTACACTATCTAGAAAATGCTGCTAACAATGTCGGCCTCTAAAACTGAATTCATAGGCTTCAACCAGCAAGTCTCAATACAGACTGTCTTAATTCAATAGAATCTGTCGAATCGTTTATATACCTAGAAAGCTAAATAAATTTGTTGTAATGGAATGCTCCACACTCCCTATCGCCTATGTGGACTGACTATATCAGTAACTATATACCTGGGGCTTGCTTTGGGAATTACTATCCTGCCACCCGATTCCCTGTCTTTCAGTAGTTAGCGTTAGCGATGACAACAGTGCTCAACCGAAATTTTTTGAGAGCATAATAATGTCATCCACATGCAGGCCTGTTTCGCTGTATCACAGCTCATCAGTGCGGATAGACATCCGATTGCTTAAGGCGGAATCGAAACCCGATATATATATATATAGGTAACTATACTCGTCTCGAAAAACCTTCGAATTTTTGATTTGCCAATAATCAAATCAATCTCGAAGGTAAAAAAGGTTTTAAAAAAAAAGAAAGAGTCAGGAACATGAAAGTCTGTCGAAAACAATCGCACAGATACAGGTTCAAAGGCCAAAGAAAAAACCCCGACACGAGTAAACAACTAGCTAACAAAAGAGCTCAATACAACCGTAGAGCAGACCTAAGCGGATCGTCAGGGAAAATTTAAAAAAAACTAGATTACTTCACCATATATATATATATATATATATATATATATATATATATATATATATATATATATGGTGAAATAATGTAGTTTTTTAAAAATTTTAGTTAATAGCTGGTGGTATTGCTATAAATAAGTTTTCGTAATATTTTCTCTTTAAAGGATTATTTTTCTTTCTTTTTTTTTTTTTTGTAATAAAGCTGACATTGAGGAAATTAAAATTATGTCCCATTAGTGGAGAATTCGACCTTCTACACTATCCATACCATTTCATCTTAAACGCAAGCTCACAAAATCCATAAAGTAAAAAAAAAAATTCATAATCCTATCCTCCAACACATCAGCTAAACTGTCAAATGAATAAACCATTCCTGACACAAGGATCGTTACCACCACCTCCAAGACTATCGGAAATATAATCAGGATGAAAAATAAAACAAAAAAAAAACAATTCAAATTCCGAAGTTTATTAAATGTTTACATTGCAATAACATGAACATGGAAGAGGCATCACGTGATTTAAAAACCCGCATCCAGGAAAACAAAAGAGACTTGCAATTAGATAAACATTCAAACTCCCTCTTCTTACACCGTAACGACATGGAACATAATTTTAATTTCACCAATGCCTGGTTCGTTTATTTAAAAAAAAAAAAAAAGAACATAACCATTTAACGAGAAAATATTATAAAAAAATATTTATAGCAATACTACCAACTATTAACATAAGTTTTAAAAGTACAATACTTCACCATTTATATATATATATGTGTGTAAGCAAATATATGGATATAGATCCGACAGTGTGAAGAAAAATATGGAAAAACAAAAATCCGAATATGCAAGTATGCTGTTTTAATGTTGTTTCAGTGTCGACGTCAGACGTTTCGGTCTAGTCGACCTTCTTCTGGACATAATTATTAAAACATAATTAAAATTAGACGATATTCAAGTCAACATGAAAAGAAGATAGACATAAGATTAATCAAAACAGAATAACTGAATTTTTTTAAGATCAGCGTTCCGTTTCACAATATGATCACGTCGGCGTCACGTGCATGGAGTATTGCTGCCATATATGGTCTGAAGCCCCTTCTGTTTGTCTCAAGGTTCTTGATAAGATCGAGAGACGGATATGCAATGTAATTGGCCCTGATCTGGCATCTCCTCTCACAGACGTGCCGTCGCCTCCCTCTGTCTTTTTTACGAATACTTTCATGGTAACAGCTCCGATGAGCTGCTATCGCTGGTTCGCAGACTTCATGAATTTAAGCGTTCAACTAGACTGGCATCTCGCTCTCACCCTTTCACTGTCGAAACTGTTAAATGTAGCCGTCTCTTCTACTCCAATAGCTTCATGTCTCGCACCTCTCGCCTGTGGAACCCCCTCCCCTTTTCCTGTTTCCCTGAGAGCTATAATCTCCAACTATTCAAATGTAATGCCAATCGACATCTCCATATGCCTTGATCTATCCCCTATCCTTCTCTTCATCCTTTCCTCTATCACTCCTATTTGCTCTCGCTCCAACACGCTGTAACCCCTTGCGTGCTAGTGACTTCCCGCCTTGCTTGGGGTGAAACGCTTATAAAAATATTCCTTTCTTTTTTTTTTTTCGAAGCTTGCATAAATGATAGCCCACGCGAAAACTGATTGGGTTGATTTGGTTCAATAGGTTATTTAATGCCGAGAAGATCTTTATTGCTGGTAATATTTTTGTTAAAAAAAATGTATTGCTGGTAATAATTTTTTCCTCAAAACTTCATTGATAGTAATAATTGTTTACGAAATTTATTGTTGGTATTAAAACTATTTTTAGACTTTCATAGTGTTTTGACCCCAGTTTGGGGTTAACTAGACGCTGGAACGCTAATAGGTAGTTTATCGACATACCCAGGATGTGGATGTAGTTTATCGTCTAACCTAGGACGCGGATGTAGTTCATCGACATATCCTGGACGCGGATGTAGTTTATCGTCTTACCCAGGAAGTGAATGTAGTTCATCGACATATCCTGGACGCGGATGTAGTTTATCGTCTTACCCAGGAAGTGAATGTAGTTCATCGACATACCCTGGACGCGGATGTAGTTTATTGTCTTACCCTGAACGCGGACGTAGTTTATCTTCTTACCCAGGGTACGGATGTAGTTTATCGTCATACCCAGGACGCGGATGTAGTTTATCGTCTTACCCAGGACGCGGATTTAGTTTATCGACATACCCAGGACGGACTGAAAATGATTAAAAAGACTCAAATGGATAAGCATAAAAACCATAATGACTAAAGTAAACAATCCTTACTGCCTTTTAGAAATGGAGAATATTAAAATGGAAGCAATTTATTGAATTATGACGGTATATTGAAATAGACAACATAAGATGGCTTAATTAATATGTGCTCGAACAAAATAAGCCAGTGAAAAAGTTTATCAAAAAGTGAACAAATGGCGGAGGGAGAAAAATGCAGACTCTGGATTGCAAAATGATATTTTAAAATTAATACCAAGCAAATGAAACGTTCTAAATACAAACAGGAAAATATCAATGGCAACAGAAAACAATTGCTGGGTTAAAAGATTCAAGCCAATCCTCGGTTCCCGTACGATCATCGAAGTTAAGCAACGTCGAGTCAGGTCAGTACGTAGATGGGTGACCGCTTGGAATACCAAGTGTTGTAAACTTGAATGGGCGAATGGTGTAATGGATAATGTCTCGAAATCGTTAACCGGTGTTCCAATTCCCGTTGGGTTCGTTATATTCCCTTACGCGCAAATATCCTTGGGAAAGATATGAACTCATCTCTTCTTCTCTCTCCCCAGATACGGGTTAATTAGTAAAACTTATATCACTAAACCATTATTCTCTCAAAAGATATTCTAACAATCTAAAAACTTTTTCTAACTTTAAATAACCTCTCCATCTTCACAGTGACGAACTAGTTGGTTGCCCCGAGGTTATAACTTGTGCGCCGGACTCACTCGATTTGGAATTTTACGTGTTCAACTCTGCGCGAAATCCGACGATCGGCGTGTGGCGGTCGTCTACGAGGCCGTCTGTCGCGTAGCTCTGGTAAGTGGTGAAACCGAAAAGCTCGAAGTTCAAGAACTGAGTGGCGACTCTCTGCGCGCAATCCGGCGGTCCTCGTGCGCGCAGGCCATCCTCAGTGTGTGGTGGTCGTCGTCTACGCGGCCGTCTGTCGCGTAGCGCTGGTAAGCGGTGAAACCGAAAAGCTCGAAGTTCTAGAACTGAGTGGCGACTCTCTGCGCGCAATCCGGCGGTCCTCGTGCGCGCAGGCCATCCTCAGCGTGTGATGGTCGTCGTTTACGAGGCCGTCTGTCGCGTGGCGCTGGTAAGCCGTTAAACCGAAAAGCTCGAAGTTCAAGAACTGAGTGGCGACTCTGCGCGCAATCCGGCGGTCCTCGTGCGCGCAGGCCATCCTCAGCGTGTGGTGGTCGTCGTCTACGAGGCCGTCTGTCGCGTGGCGTTGGTAAGCCGTTAAACCGAAAAGCTCGAAGTCCAAGAACTGCGTGGTGACTCTCTGCACGCAATCCGACGGCCCCCGTGCGCACACAGTGCAAAGGGGTGATCATCCGTAAAATCGACTCAACAAACATTTAACATATATATCGTTTCCGAGAATACTGTTCTGCTATGGGGATAGCTAATCCTTGTTGAAGGCGCCTGTTCAATCATATTTGTGTTTGTTCAGCACCCACATAACCAACCTATGGCTTTTACTGAAATTATAATTGAACCTCTGTTACTAATTCTGTTAGTGAGCGCCCTATCTGGTAGTATAATTAGTTGAAGCTAGTACGATCTGCCCGAACAAATGTTTTTTTATGTAGCTTTCTAATCCTCCAATGACGTGACAGCAATTTAATGGACATAGGCACTTAAAGATGGCAACCTGCTGAATTTCATTTCATGCATTATTATGGGAAAATCAACAAAATCAAACGGTCAGAGTACACTTCCAAGCCTGTCCATCTTGGGGTCACTCTGGACTGGTCCTTTACATACAAGGATCACATTGCAATGACTAAAGTCAGGGTCGGTGCCCATGCCAGTACCATCTACCTTTTGCTAATCCACACCAGAATATTCTTCACCAGTGTGGAGTAGGTCCTCACATGCAAATCGACCCTGCCTTAAACGACTCTTGCTGATTAATTAATGGGTATCTCAAGCCAACGAACGTAGATGACCTCTGATGCTCTCCTTATATATCAGGACAGTCCACTCCCAACAATGTGAATCAGAGGCTATCTCTCACCGCAACAGAATCCCTCCCAGCTTGCTCCAGTGATGTCTTGCCCTTCTGGTCCTGCCTGAATCGTCTCCGATCAGCTGTTGGTAGTTGTAGAGCCGACCTTCAGAAATTTCGATACGCCACAGATGATGATCCCAACTGCCAATGGTGGGCAATTACAAACTATGGAACATGCACGCTTAATGACTTTGAAACCTTAACACTCCAGGCAAGGCACCTTAACAAAGTCTCTCTCAGCCTTACAGCTCCAGTGATGCTTGGCCCTTCTGGTCCTGCCTGAATCACCTCCAAATTGGTGTTGGTTGCTCTAGAGCCAACCCCCAGAAATGGGGATATGCCACTAATGATGATGCCAACTGCCAATGGTGCGCAATTACAAACTATGTAAAATCTTCTAGTTTGCCCCTAATCTTGAAGAATCATGCACACAGAACAACCTTGGAACGTTAATATCTCAGGCTAGTCTCTGTGCACAACACTGGATGATTGCAGGGTAGCGACTCGTTAAGAAGGTCATATGGATCCAAACCAGTTCTTTAACGTACATATTTTCCCCGATTCGGTTCAGAACAGACATTAATACGTATTACCTGTGTTAAGGCAACCATCTAGCATTCTTGAGAAGTGGTTCTCAGTTGTTTTTTTTTTTTGATTTTCCATCCTCTTTACTCCCAAGCCACATCTCTAAAGCCAACCACACATAGCCATATCAAGACACGTTTTCCTAGATATTAAGCAAACAAAACATCCAGAACATCAACTAGTCCAACAGAAATACAGTCCAAAAATACGTATGGTAATAGTAATGTTAATGTTAGCCGTTTCCTTACAAGGAAACATTTGGCACTCATTGACCGAGCAGATAGTATCGGTTTCGGTTGAAATTTATAAAATCTTTCTCTTAAAATAGTAGTCCAGTAGCTGTTATCGCTCTTTCCAGTAGTGATGCGGGTTTTCTTCTTAACCTTTTATTTAAACATAGTGTGGAACATCAACATCTTGATTATGTCATTATTTCCTCTTCGAGTTGCATGTTCCATCCATTTTAGTTGTTGCTGCTGTTGGTAGTCCTCAAGTGATGTGCTTTCTATTATTTCGGGACAGTTCTTTCTCTGTAGTGCCAGTCCACAATATTCAAAGAAGGATGACCTTTGCCAAGACCATCAGGCTTTAATCATATACAGCTCACAGTTTAGATATTTCTGACCGGGTTTGGCGCCATGCGTCACAGCCATATAAAAGTTTTGATCTGACGTGGCTGTTTAAGAACATGACTCGAGTTTTCATGTTTTAGTCTTGCAGCAACTTGCGGTGTTGGACGAAGCTGCCTCCAGCGCAGCCTCTTCTATGTTCATTTTTTTCCTATACTTAATGTGTTCCATTTCGGCTTTTCTTAGATGCCATTAAATAAGATGTCGCCAGATAAGCATCCGTGGCTATAACGCTATACTTAGAGACCTAGAGTAATGGACGCTGCATATACTATCTGCATTATTTGTCTGGTATGCAACGGGTCTTGTCCAGATAATGCTAAAAAGCAAACTGTTATATGATTAATTCACTCCTCTAGAACTTGTCTGTCTGTCTTAATCTGTTAATATCTAGCTAGCTAGCGAGCTATCTTAATCAGGTCATATCTTTCTAAAATGGAAATTAACTATCATATTATTTGTTCATATCTATCTATCTATCTCAATCAATCAGTCTATCTATTTATCTATCGCAATCAGTTAATATGTATGTATGTATCCATCTTAACCAAGCAATCTATCTATCTATCTATCTATCTATCTATCTATCTATCTAGGTAGGTAGATAGATAGATAGATAGATAGATAGATAGCTATCTCTATCATTTCATATATTTCTATAATGGAAATTATCTTTTTATTTGTTCATATCTTTCGATCTATCTCAGTCAACCAGTATCTATCTATCTATCTATCTATCTATCTATCTATCTATCTATCTATCTATCTATCTCAATCAATCAGTCTATCTATCTATCTATCTATCTATCTATCTATCTATCTATCTATCTCAATCAGATCATATGTATCTATCTATCCATCTTAATCAATCAATCAGTATACCTATTTATACAGCACGTTGGCGTAATGGATTGCTGTTGGGATTGAGAAATCAGAGGGCCGAGTTCGAATTCCAGTCAAGATCATTGCATTCACTTATGTGCCTTGGGAAAGTTTTGAATCCATCTGTTCTATGGGTAAAGAGCAGATCAGATTCGGTTCTGTAGCACTGGTTGGCAGCCGGTCTAGGAGAAGGAAAATTCTGAATTCAAACCAGCCTGGAGAAATTTGGGCTCCGTCAGGCTGTCCTACGACTCGAAAGAGTTACGGGACTCCTGATCTTGATCGTGACATATTTAGCATCGCACTTGACTTTTAAATCCATATATAACAGAGTTGGTTTTAAAAATAGTCAAGAAATGTTTTCAATCAATCTCAATCTAGATCGAGAAGAGAGCATAAAACAATGTTTAGTTCTATAAATAATTCTGGGTCTGCAAGACAATATTCTTTGAAATGCAGCCCGCCAGCTAATACCATTCCAAATGCAAAAGCCATTAACCAAAGACACAACATAAAAGTTATATTCTTTTTTCATTCAGGGACAAATGCATATAATTTCAAAGCAAGAGGTTGGGCTGTATATTCCTTGGGGCTTTGTTCATTAGTTAAAGGCGAAAATTAAATAAAATTCTTCTTGGCAATTTGGCAAAGAAATAGAATTCTGGCAAAAAATGGTTAGTGTAGATCAATTAAATCTGCTTCACAATTATTTTTAAGGCTTTTGGGCTTCTCTGTTATTTAAATTGATATTTTCAATGAATTAAGCTTCACAAGAGTTAATCATATTGTATACAGAAATATTCCCAATGTAACTTAAAGAAAGTATTTGGTGCTCAAATATCTCACAACTGTCAGATAGAAGGTTTGTAAATATAAACAAACATAAGATGGATAATTAGTCAGTTCAGTTCCACATGGGAAACACGCTTAGGCGATCATGTATCTTTCGATACATGACTGACGAGGCATATTTTTTTCCCCGCAGTAGATTGCCATTTCTTTCTGCGGTAGAACAGTTGCCATCCAAAGCTATAGAACCCAGTCTGTCCTGCTATTTACCCAAGGGTAAATGCACGTAAGTAAATGTAATGGATTTTTACAATTTATTACATTCGTAACTTACTGCTAAACACTCAAATAATTTTATACAGTGAAAAATAATTTAATATTATCTATTATTATACAGTTCCCTAAAGGTTTGAGGGTTAGGACTCAACTAAATTTACAAATCTAATAAAATAGGATTTCATTAGAACCCCTAATCATGAATCTACTTTTGATTACTGTCATGCCAGATTTTAATACTGATAAG